AAGGAAGGAAGGAAGGAAGGAAGGAAGGAAGGAAGGAAGGAAGGAAGGAAGGAAAATGAGAGAGAGAGAGAGGGAGGGAGGGAGGCAACTCATACCTTTAAAAGCTATGTAGAAGTAGAGATTGAGCTTCAAGGCAAGCATTCCTTAAAACAGTGTTTCTCAACCTTGGCAACTTAAAGATACGTGGACTTCAATTCTAGGACTTGAAGTCCACGTATCTTAAAGTTGCTAAGGTTGAGAAACACTGCCTTAAAATCCAAACTATTTCATAGCTCCTGGTATATTGAAACAAATATTAAAATCAATCCTGGTTTGACATTTCAGTTGTCAGAGATACTGAAATTACTGACACCAGAAACAACACTTCTTTGGAAGATAAGAAACTGTATACTACTACAGAAGCCTTATACTAATACAGTACTGTACATCTTCTCTGTTTTCTCCCTCATCACTCCATGGAAAAATAAACATACTACAATTATCCTGGAGGAGTTGAAGTTACAGTGACCTCAGCAACTCCTCTGAACTCCAAATCTGTTACCAGTTAGCTTTTATGGGGTGTTTTTGATCAAAGCGCTTTGCACACAACATTTCATCCATTCTTTCAACACCAAATAAAACATAAGGCAGAACGAATGACGTGGGTTTTCTGTCGTTTTTATATTTATTAAATTTTTATCCGTTGTGCCTTGACTTTGCAGGAAAAGAAGTGCCCCCTTGTCCTCATTCTATCTAAGCATTAATTTTACAACAGCCCTGCGAGGTGGGCTAGGCTAAGAGCAAGCAAGCTTTGGGGTTGAAAACAAGTTGGAACTTATGTTTCTAGCCAACACAGAACAGAGCTTCCAGCACCACAAACCAGGATTCCCTTAAAGAGGTCTTTCAGTTTGTCATATTAATTTAGCCAATTTCACATACGGCTCAACTCTGCTTCTCGTCATTAAGGTGCTGTATTGGGGAGACCCACATTCAAATCCCCGCTCAGCCACTGAAGCTCCCTAACTGATTCTGGCCCACTCATTAACTCACCCCAACCTACTTCACAGGGTTGTTGTGGGGAAAAATAGTGAGCTCCTGTATGAAAGGCAGGATCTAAGTCTACTAAATGAAAAAAAAATTCCAGGGGTGAGACTTATTGAGAACTCAGCAATTCCACCCTGAGACATGTCTCCATGCCTTTTAAATCTACACACAAACATTCAAACCCAAATACAGAGATTCCTTCCAGCTCACCACAGTGAGGAACCCTCCAAGCAGATCCTCCATCTCCTCAGCCAAGGAAACTCCACTGTCAACAGGATTCAGGTTGCAAACAACAGGAAGTGCTTTCCACAACATGTCATTAAGGTTATGGAACTCCCTATTACAAGATTTAGTCATGGTAACTATCCGGGGTGCTTAAAGAATAAAGGCAGCTGTAGCAATAGCCACAAAATACATTTTTTTGGACAATCTGGAGACAAAAGATTTCTAAATTCCAGATAACAGGAACAAGTGATAGAAAAAGGCTAAGGGCCCACCGGCACCTCTTAGAGCTCTACAGGACCACCATGTTTAAACCCTAAACAAATAATGAGGACAAATGGACAGACATTACAGGCTCATTGGTTTTCTGGAGGCCCATCTTAACATCTAATGGTTGGTCTTATTTATACAACTGAATATCAGTGGATCATCCCTGGTAAGCAAGACGTGAGGAAACTCTAAAATGAGAAGCAACAGAGCTCGTTGCTCAAGAACAGAACAATAAAACCTGCCTGACAAGTCCTGCATTGCCTTGCCTCAGTTTTTTCTAGGCAAAGGAGGGAAAAAAGTAAGATGGTAAGCTGCCTTTCATCTATGGTGAGCATCATTTTCCAGGAAAGAAGGACAAACACTTTAATCCAGCACATGACCTAGCTGTGGTATCATGTGGACTAGCAGCTTGCGAAATATTTTTCCAAGGTAAAAGAAGAGTGTCACCTGATTTTAAGACTCTTCTAAGGACAACAAAGGCAATGGAAACACAGTACATTTAAAAAAAAAAAAAAGCTTCATGGAAGGCATTGCCACTGAACTACAGTCAAGAGAATCATTCAGTTAAATCACACTTCCTGCCATGGAGAAACTCACAAAATGGCCTCATCTAATCAATGTGTTCCCTCTCCCTTCCCTAACATGTTGGCCTCCATATGTGTTGGATCATAGCTCCTCAATGTGGCCAAGAGTTGGGAACTATGGCAGCTGAAATCCAATAAATGTTGTGGGCACCAGGTTGCAGAAGAATGGCTAAGCCAGATGTGGACAAATTGTTTGAGCAACAGCCACACTTATTCCAACAGGGCCTTATCCCAACATGAAATCCACTGCATGTACAATTAATAAACACAGAAGAATTAAAAACAGTGAATATGGTTACTCTCCCATTTATATAATAATTCCTCCTTTCTTTCACATTAAGAATTACAATTTGTGGGCTCTGCACTTCTGGGACCCTAATTGTACACCTCTAAATTTCTAAACAAAGAGACCAAAATCACTAACTCACCTTGTATCGTAAGAATTAGCACTTTGCACACTCTCACTGGCTCAGTTACATTTTATCTCATCATTTAATAATACGATCCTATTTTTCTTTTTATACTAGATTCACACTCTTGTCTGCACACAGAGAATGGGTTAAAAGCTAGATCCAGAGGCAGGTTGACTGTAAAGTAAATGCTAACAAATGCAAGCCTTCTTGAGTCTTAGTGAAAAGTTGCAAAAAATACCAACTAGCTTAGACTGCAAACTAGCTAGCATCAAATCCCCATAGGAAATGGGGCTGATGTCAGAGGGCACACACTTGGGATACAGCAGGAAAATAAACGGAAGGGGCACTGAAAAACCTCATTGAAATCAAAAGCTGTAATACCAATATTAACATTGCTGCCGCCAAAGAAACTCAGTGCTTCTTGTTGTAGACATGGTAGGACAGTGTTTCTCAACCTTAGCAACTTTAAGATGCGTGAACTT